ACACACACACACACACAAACACACCAACAGACACACTTAGCCGATTATATAAGTAGGATAATTCAAAGTTATTGTAATAGTTCTAGTATATTTTTATATAATTCATCTATACAGCTCTAACTTTGTAAAAGTAAGTCGCCATCGTTGTGTCAATTCCTATTAGGATTCCTTACCGCATTCCATTGGACGAATCTGTCGACCCTGCACGACGGCTAATTTATGGCTGTGGGTGGCAATAATTTAGCAGAAAACTTGAAGAAAATAACGCATTGGTCTCTGTCCTTCACCCGCTGCAAGATTTCCATATGCGTAGAGTTCCGATCAATCGCTCAACACACGATGGTGGGGCCAAAGCCCAATCCGAAAAGCTGGATCGGAAGACAGCACAAAAAGGATGGGCTGTTACGTAGGTTGGCAGAAAGGGATCTACTGGAAGTAGTAGGAGAATGGTAACATTGTGGCTTTCTATGAATATACGTAAAAATTAGGGCCTGGAGCGGTAACTGCCGTCTGTTAGAAGGAGAACCTTTCACGAAGAGTCAAGCGTTTTCGTGGACCCAGGTGGCAGTGGTGCTCAGATGTCCATGTAGGGAGCACTCAATGGTGAGATCGGTTTTACAGGTCAGAAAGACTCTACGGTTCCTGGAAAGTCAATATGGCACTTTCATGGGACGATGTGAAGATGACGCAGAATAGCTCCAAAGCTGCTAACCCCGCCCCCTCATGGACTAGTGTGTCCTGGGCTCCCACTGCGCAATTCCCAGACCGTTTCTGTTACAAAGGCATCATATTTCGATCAAGCATGGGCCGACATTTTACCATTTGGACGATGGTCCCTTCACAGCTGTGCCTTAAATAACAGAAAAATGAAATAAAATTTAGGTTCACGGTATAAAGCGAATCTTGAGCAGGATTGCAGAGAAGCCCATAAAAGACGAGATGTTCTGATCCCTCATTTTACAGGTATGAATTCTGTAACAAAGGAGGTGATCTGTTCATCGAATCGCTGGCTCGTCTGAATCACTACCTACAGACTACTACCGATCCTCGGCATAAGGGGGTCACCGTGGTGGCTTTCATTATCTATCCAGGTTTTGGTCCATGTTTTTCATTTTTTCGTCATTTGGTAGGTCTCAACTATTCCTGGTTTTAGCCCCATCCAACTCCTTCAATGTCGAATCGCTAAAAGGACAAGCTGTCACAAAACAATTAAAGGAAGCAGTTGACAGGATAAAGGTGCCATATTGAGAGAGCCGGATTGTACTGTCCCGTTGGAGTGATTTTTAATTTAGGAAAGCATCGGTCAACGGATGTTTGATATCTGTCTGCAGGGCCACCTTCCCGATGGTCACGACCTTTTGTCTCCAGCTGATAATGTTCTGGTAAGTTGTTTCCCGATCTGACTTGGATTTACACTTGCTATCCGCTTGAAAGTTTCCGATGATTCTTAATAATTCCTTTTTAATATATTTTTGGTCCGTTTTATTCGTTGATGAGCTGTGCCTTGCCCACAGCCCAGATCGTTCACCAAAAAGAAGGGAAAGGCACAAAGCTGAACTTCGTCGGATTTATTGATATTTGGTTATTTGTTTTCAAATGTTTGCTATTTATTTACTTGTTGAACTTATTTCAAATTTTCACGTTTTACTGTAACTATTTATGAAGTTTCTGAAGTCCATAGCGGTATTTTGCCCTGACACATCCATAAGCAGCCGTAACAATCCTACAGTAGTTAATGGAGGTTTTCCTACAGTGAGATGAACCCCACCTGAAGAACTGCTTCTTGCCAGGACCCATAGACAACCTTAAGGATCCTTGTATCGAAGGATTCCCCCTTTCGGTAGAAAATAGTCTTTTTTTGAATAAAGATATTCAGAATAATTTCAGCTTAAACGATGTATAATGGCAACGGAAAAAAGGGATTTGCCACCTATTTGTACCCACAATATGGTTCGTGGAGATGATGAGGTGGGTACCTTCGTCGTTATTGATTTTCCCTTTTGTAATATGATGTGATGATGTGATGTACAAAAATATGTTACTAATTTTAAACGTATCGCAATTTTTTTTTTGAAATCAGTTCATTCCAAAGCTCTCGGCTCCTGTACCATCGCCATTACTCCATCCCATTGCTTTTCCCTCCATCCTTCTTTTTTCAGGTTTTAAGTGCTTTGAGACGGACGCAGCTGTTGAATTTCCGTGAACATCGAGTGAAAGTCGTATTCCATCCCGGTAAGAAATTAATTTCTTATCACCATCGATTCGTGGATCGATTTTTTTGGACGCTTTTTGTCACCCGTTTGTTTGTTCGACGGGAGAAACAAACAAAGAAAAACTTACGAAACAATAACAACAAACAATTAACAAAAACAACTACAAAACCCAAAAAGAAACTTACGTCAGAATATTTTGTTCGAGAAAAAGAAAAGCTGGAAACAACAACAATAGACTAAAAGATTTTTATTTTTAATGGTTATTTTTTTTAGTTTTTGATGTTGATTTCGATTTTTTTGATTTTTTAGAGTTCTTGTCATCTGTTTCTCCTCTGATCGGTCTCGATTATGAAGACTTTGTGCGAGGATGCCATCTGGGAGTGTTCCCATCATACTATGAGCCATGGGGGTAAGGTTTTCGGACTGTAGACCCAGACTGATTGATACATAAAATCTGATGCCTGCTGTTTAGATATACTCCTGCAGAATGTACAGTGATGGGAATTCCGTCCATCTCGACTAATCTAAGTGGATTTGGCTGTTTCATGCAGGTAGATTCATTCCTCATTCGATCATTTCTTTTTTTTCTTATCGTCCTTGCTGACCTCCCTGCTGGAAGAGGGCATAAAATCACAAGCTTCTTTGATATTTAGCTTCAAAAGGCTAGCCCAGTATCATCGTCGTCCCGTTAATCATCGATTTCCTCAAGCGGGTGCCAGTAAAGTCTCGATTCGCCATTGTCTCGAGCACTGTAGTCCAACTTCTCGCTTGAGGGTCTCGAAACGTACCTATCTTTTCATAAGGAACGCTCGTGCCTATGGGCCTATGGAAGAGGTTCAATCATTCACTGGTCGCTGTTTCACCTAGACCATCCCTTTTTTGGTAATTTTGGAGTTTCTTGAGAGTTTACAGTAACAGTAATGGGTTCCAAATGTTTTGCCGTGGGGACTGCAGGATGTCCGCTCATATCAATTTCTACCGTTTAGAGTTTCTGTCATTTAGGAACATGTCGAAGATCCTTCATCATACGGTATCTACGTGGTTGATCGACGATTCAAAAGTCCAGAAGAATCCGTTCGACAATTGGCTCAGATAATGTTCGTTTTGAATGCTTCAAGATATCTGATGACAGAACTATCCAAAAAAGGTGTGAATTTAAAAATCCAATTTTTAAGGTATGACTTCTGTGGAATGTCCCGTCGACAACGAATCATCCAACGAAATCGAACAGAAAGGCTTAGTGAGCTACTCGATTGGAATAGTCTTGGCGTATTCTACAGGTGTGCTGGTTATTTTGATCGTTCATTTATGTTTTGCCCTTTTTGGAATGAGCCATGCCCTTGTCTTCACTTTGAGAATGAAGCATTCGGGAGGGTATTTAGCCTTTGTTAGTTGCCTAAGCCCTAGCCATATTTGTTTTCGCAGGGATTGTCGTCGAATGGCCCTCGAACGATTACACCCCGATGTGGACAATATAATACGTCAAAATGAAGGAAATGTAAGTAAAAAAANAAAAAAACAAAATGTGCATCTCGGATAGCCATAATACTTTCTAATGGCTCCATCTTATAGGTGCCATCCGCTGCAACCAGTAGACGACCGAGTGTCGTCCATACCAGCGAGGAAGAAGATGGAAATTAAAAAATGAATTATTTAACAAAGTAAACAAAGCAATCTCTGTTGATGTCCCATCATAGGCAAGACCGTCGTCTTGCATATGCTGTAATTGACTACTGCCTTTGCTCGATATAACTGCTTGCCGCATTTGAGGTGCTCTGATAATTGCTCCAACTTATTTGACAGACTTCTAATGTTTTATTGTTTAATAAATATTTTCTAGTTAACTGAAGTTTTTTCCAATCGATAGAATCTCAATTTACCCAGCCAGCCACACTCACTCCCGAGATCATACCGGGGCTTCTCTCATGGAGCCGAGCCGAAGCTAAAAGGCCGAGTTTCAAAAAGGATCAGGATACTATAAATACTATTGAGGTAAACTCGGAGAGGCTCATTAGTGAACCAGTTCGATCTGATGTTCAAACCTGGTCCCAATTGTTGACGGTTATCAAAATCAATATCCCGATAAATTGTTTGTTGACCTTCCCTGATTGTTGCTGGTCGATGGCGGTCGTTTCTTTTTTCGTTGAGGCTGGACTTCAGGATAGAACTGATTTTCATTCTTTTCTAATGAGGATCCCTAGCTCTGCCCCTCTCCGCTTCCTTCCTCTTTTCTTAATGGGAGTTAGGTCTCCAAGCGTCAGTGGAATTTCCGTCATTATACCTGATCACTTCATGGAGTTGCGCAGGAAGAAATCTACATCGGCTGGAAAACAACAGGCTTCGATTTTTGCCTCGTTTTGAAATTGGGATCGGCAGCCTAGCCTGAACCAGCGAAATACTCTAAATTTCAGAGGTTTCTTGATTAGATAGTGGCATTGACAGTCTGTCACAGTAAATTACTGGCTTTCCAGTCGACCTCCTTCAGGAATTTTGAATTGCTATATTTTTTACTCGGAAACCCGAGAAATATTTCTCGCTAGGAATTGTACTCAAAGTTCTCAACAAAGAGTAAGTAGTAATAAGTTATTTATAGAACTGACGAGTAAGAATGCGAATTTGTGTGCGAGCAAATGTTCTCTCAAACTTTTTGTTTGACGATAGTGTACTATTGGAGTACGTGAATATTTGAGGAAAAAATCTAGTTGGCAACATTCCAGAAGAGTGTTTACTGAAAGCGAGTACTTTGACATATGATATATGAGTAGGCCATGGCTCAAGGGGTTGAAAAAAGTCTTTGATGAAAAGTACTTCATTTTCAGTTCGTTTCGAAAACACAGCAAAAGGTGGGGGCATTTTTTAAGACGTGTTTTTCATGCACGAGCTAACTTCCATTTATGGTTTTGCTATGATCTCATTTGGGATATCTATAGCCATGACGACTGAGGAATGGGAGCTCTTAGTGTAGGTGTTAGGAGGAAACATTACCGAGCCAGCAGTACCTGGCTCAATGGGGGAGGGAGAGGAGAGTTGGGTGGGGTTCATATTCGGTCATTTCGGCAGAATGGACATAAACAATGGGCAAAATGGGGTCTTGCAGATTATATGTTCGGCTGCCAGTGTCCTGTCGATATTAATTTGTTTATTTACACATTTGGTTTCAGGCTACGTCGTAAAACAGAATGGGTACAGCAGGAACGGAAAAAAGTGGCGGCTTGTATACAATGTAACAACAACATACAATTACCAGTGGGCGAACAGTACTTTTGAACAAACTTTAGCCTGCATCCAGTGTACTTCTTGTATTATTTTTATTTCGCTGTAAAAAACAGCTGGAAATAGAGAAGCATCGAACATCATCAAATAAGTGCTAGAAAAAATATTTGGCAGAATCACTTTTGAAGGCACATTCTCAGGTACGTCATTTGGTTCCGTCGCATTCGCCTTACCGTCGAGTGAGCAAGTTGGAGGTGCTGCCGCTATATCGTTTTGTTCAAGTTCATACTCAACGAAGAAGCTGACTGTCGCCTAGAGCGCGCGTCGATCGATAAGCACCTTTATCAACTGCTCTCGCGAATCTTACTCCGAAGCCATTCCGAATCGCCATGATACTTGGGATCGGCGAGTAGCAATGCTGCTCGTTTATACATCGCGTAATGAACTACTGCACCTGTAATATTATAAGCATAGCTGGGTTTGAATATGGTAATAGTATCGATCGGTTAATTCGATCTATTCAAATTGTTTTATTCACTGTTATTTTCCTCGCAGTTAACCAATGCAATGTCATAACATAACTAGACATTTAGGTAGGACTTTACGCCTCGAGACTCGAACCCAAACTTATGCTTATCAGTCAAATTGCTTATCCACTGCTCCACCTCAGCCCTTTGCAACTTTTCTCGACTTTCGACTGCTTTCGAGGCAAATTTCCTGTCCCCAACTTATAACCTAGCGCCGCCTTGCCCAGAGTTCAGACCCCTTTTTATGACTGTACCAATAATTATTGATAGAAACTTACAACATTTATGAGCAACATAGAGTACAAGTATTGGAGGCGTAAAGAAGATCGACGTTGTTGAACGTTCCCATCGATTGTTCTGGAAAAAAAATGTCTCAAACATGCTGAGTCATTAGTTGGCAGTATAAAAAACTAGAGACAGTGCTGATAACCTCAGCACTCGAAAGTTCGTTGAATAATATGCTTTTTGAACCAGTTTAGAACATTGTTATGTCTACTCTCATGTTTGTGTAGTCTGAATTTGTCTTGACTTTAAATGTCTCTTTCTGTAACAACGGGCTTCTGGTGCTGTGACTTATTTTCTCTTTCCCGCTGGATTGTTCAGTCATCTATGTACATTTAATTATTTTTAATCGACTCGTTCATTTATTTGTGATGTATGAGAGTTAGAATCTTTGATTGTATTTGATTGAAATAACTCATGAAAACAGAACGAAGTAGCACCTCTATCAATAGAGAAAATCGGGAAAAAAAGGCATCTACGGCAGAGCAGGCGTCTGTTCCGATTTTCGTTTTCCGCATCAGCTTCTAGCAGTAGTGCTCATTTCAAATAGGCCAAAAAAGGTTGCTCTACTGAGCGACGTCTTAGTTGATCCCCACATATGTGTGCTGATCTAATTGGCTAAGAGAGGATAAGGATTCCGAGTCAGAAAGAATCTAACTCTAGATTTTTGTTACTGGTAGGAGTTTTGAAGGACACCTAAAAAATACGAGAGGAGTCTGTTTGTAAAAAAACCATGACAGATTTTTTAAAACAACTCAAAAAAAGGACTTACCAGTGTAACGTAGTGAAGAGAAATGGAAGCAGCCAAATAAACAAATGCTGCGATCAGAGTAGAGGCGAATCGCCGGAATAGCAAAAAGATAAGACCAGCTTGAAAAACGAACGTCGACGAGAAGGTGATTATCAAAACGATCACCGACAAGAGAATGAGTGTATCTTGTAGTCTGAAAAATTGGAAGTGAATCGTTTTCACTCTTATGAATCAACGGTGGAAGGTGGCGTGGGTTCATAAGGATCAGAACTCAAGTAGTTCGAGTGGTAAACGAATACCCAGCATTCCGAGTTAATGGAAACTCCTACAATCATAACATATAATAATGATCTTGCAAGTAATTGGGACTCTATAGAAAAAAAGAAAAGAAAAAATAGAATTGGCCAAGGGTTCACCGTTTTCAAGATGGAGCTTCAGACGGGGCATGTAGCTTAATCGATAGGGTCTGGTCGTGGACTTGGGTGCTCAAGTTGTTACCCAAGGCTTACAAGAAAGCTGTGGGTGGTCTAAATTTGATTCAGACGCAGGATTAGCAGAAAAAAAGTTCAAGTGACCATACAATCGTCTTCTACAACCAAGGGGAAAGGCGAAAGTTTAAATGCAGGAACATGGGAGTAATACGCAGCGCTTCCCCTGGGAGAGTAGATGAAAAAAGTTGATTGAGAGGTCTTAAAAAGTGTGGATCTACTGCTGATTTACTCAAAAATTCAACTTGAAATTCATAGTTTTCCCAGCCTTTTTCAATGAGATCCCTGACCTCAAGAAACTCACATATACATCATCAGAAGGACGATACTGTTGCCGAAGAGCAGCACTGAAGCGGCATTGAAAGCGAGATCGGTTGCCAACATACCAATCTGGACGGCAAGCAGTAATGGATACTTACTACTGGTCATCCTGAAGCTATAGTTGTTGTAGGTTGAATGAGCTGTACTGAGAAGCACCTAGCAAGAATACGAGCGTTTATGAATTACCGCGCTTGTCGTTATGGCAACCGACCGATGCCGACGGCAACGAGTCGGCTGGCATGATACCGAATTTCAGCTGCAATTTTCATCGCTACTGGCTGTGTCCATTCTTTTCTGCCCTTTCCTTTTTCAACTACTATAGAGTCTTCCGAATATCTTCTGAAAGCTGAATTCTCCAGGAAGTTTTCTTCAAATGACCGTTCTACCTCTTTTCGAGGGCTTGTAAGGAACAGCTTGTTGATCGTTAGGTTTCATAGGCTATACCTGTGATTAGTTTCACTCATTTGTCTATAAATATCTGAAATCTTTATATCTTGTTTATTCTTATCCTTAACTATTGGCAATACTGCATCAACCGGTAAATTTTATGAAAATTTTAGAGATTTTCGGTTCCCTAAGCTATGGAAGGGGTAGTTGGGTAAAGAAACTTGTGAATGATTCACGGAATAGATTGAATTATGATGTATTTCATAATACAACTTATTTTTATTTTTTCCGAACGATCTAAAAAGGTCTTCTAGTTGTGTTCTCCGCTTAAATTTAATGGTCCCATTTCAAATGTGAAATGACTAAGCAAAAAATTGAGATAATCTCTCAATTCTACTGGAGACGGCAATGGTAGGAGAAATTCTTAGGGGTTTTCGAACAGACTTTTAGTACCCAGTAGTAGGGTATTGTGCTTGAAAGGCCCGCCCAACCCATAAATCCAATTCACCTCAATAAAGAGCTCATGACTCACTTTTCAATAGCCATGTCCGGTTGTCAGTCTCCGAATAAACGGGCCCTCGATTTCTCCAGTTAGTTGCAAGGGGAACTGATTAGAATTTTTTTCCCTCCTCGGCTCAAAATTTCTCACTGTGGAAGCTGAAAGTGCAGTGTACTCCAACGGAAATTGCCTGAAGTAAAATGTGGGTGGCAAGGATAAGCCATTATGTGGGTGCTTTCCAACTTTGTCTTCTAATCGCTTCCCGATCCCAGATGATCTTGACTTTATCGTTTTATAATAATACCTTGATCATCAATAAAGTCAGTTAATCTATCCCGAGAAAAATCCCTTGTCCTGTTCCAGTTTGACAGTTTTTTACCACCACGACATGGATTGCTTAGCTCATACCATGGTGCATTCTGAACCTCATTAAATACTTACAGTAAAACAACAAATTTTCGGAAGAATCAATCAAAGTTGGCTTACAACAATTAATCTCAAAGTTAATCCCTTGAAAATTTCGGGGGATGAATAAATAAATAAATAGATGATCAACTAAATAAATGAATATTTCGTGCTCGGAAATTGAGTCGCGATGGTCAGTCCCAAGCTGAAATGATGGGAAAGGTTGTTCATTGTTCTTCTTAACCAGTTTTAAAAGTAGTGGTTAACCCCCTTCCTGTCGTTCTCTGTCGTGAATGGGCGCTTATGAGGTGGAAGCTCGAGGAAGAGGGGATTCTGGCGCTGAACAGAATACGCCATGGATCCGACCACCAAAAGTATCGAGGCATTTGCTGACTTTCCGTTAGCTTAAGAGGTACAATTCCATGGCGCGTACTTCTTCTGGTACTACTGCATCTTGCCTATACATACACCTATTCATTCATATTCATGAAAGAAGCAATGAGCGTATTTGCAAGGTTAACAAAAGAGCTCATAGACACGATTTCTTTCCCATTGATGGAAGCAATTAAATAAGTTTCTATAGATGGATATGTGCGGTCGCCAGGCAACGCTCCTCGCTGTACTTTCACATTATATTGGATGTGAAGCACCGTTATATTCAGAATCACTAGGTTTGTTTACAAATGGCTACGGCTGCAAGTGACTGAAGCACCGAAAATTGTCTTCGGTAAACAAAGTAAAATTCTGTACAACAATTGGCCGATATAAGAAATGATTTGTTTTTTTCATATTTTTTTCCGTATTTACTTTTTTCCATTGGTTGCCATTCCTCTGAACCTTGAATTCGAAGTTTCCCTTCATTGTAGGTTACTTCAGTTATGGGCAATCAAAACGAATTAAACCATTCATTGAAACTACGGGAGGAAGATGTCTTGAGTTGAAAACCTAGGAAGAAATTGTTGATGATTCCAGAACCAGGGGAGCGGTTCCATGATCAAGAAATCATAGAGGAAATGTTTCTTGAATCCTGCTAAAGATCCTTACCTTACCACGAATCCACTATCTCTTTCAACTTTTCTTTTTGCTTTTTTTTCATTTCTCTCTTTTTTTACTTGCTCAGGGTTGCTCTCATGTATTATGAGAGCTTTAGGATTGGAGTGCAAGTAATGACCAGTGCTTACTTTGGAAGCCCTGAGTGATCCTAGTATGATCTTCTTTCCATCTGGGAAAGCTCAGCCGTAATTGGTTCCAGTCGTGAACTGGCACCGATTCTAGGAATCGGCATGTAGGCTTCCATAGAAACAGAAAAAACGAATTCGATTGAATTCACTTTGTTCGCGGAGTTTTCTCATCCGTAGTCCACAATTCACAATGCTGGAAGCTAATGAATCGAAGTTGTACTATTCCCATGGTGGTTTCCTCTGCTCAATGTCAGCGATCAAAGTCCTAGTCCTAGCAATGGGGCCACGTTATTCCCGGAATTTGCCGGCTCAGACGGGACTCGTACCCCACTTCTGCTCCATTGTATTACCGAAACTTTTCCAGTCTTCACCCAGCTTCTTGGATGTTTTCATATTTAAGTCTTGTGGTTATGGATGCGCTGTGAGCCTTTGAGAGCTCATAGAGCCGTTTTTAATTCATCTGTACTAGTTGCCATCAACCCTTTGTTACTGACGATTGATTAGTTTTGACGGATTTCTAATAAATTGAAGATTTGTGCCTGAATTTAGCTTTCTCAGCTATCTTCTAGCTTCATGTTTAGGTACAGGTTTACGAAAAACGCTGCCGTGGCTTGAAAGTCTAAACTTCCCGTGATCTACCGAGTTTTAGATTTCCACAGGGCCCCGTAAAGATGTCTGACGGGAACGCCGATTGGGTGGCTCAGAATCTGCATCGGCAGGTAAGAAATATTCCATGCGAGAAGGAACTCCTCTTTCTCTTATGGTCCTTCCGATTGCAGAGGAAAATTCTTGAAGAAAAGCAACGACAAAAACGGATAACGTCAGCGACTATTCGCAGTAATCAACTGCCATCCTCTGGATACCATACAATGAATGCATCTACTGGGTAAGCCTTGCTAAAGGTTGTCTTCTGAAGAGGAATTCATGTAAAACCGTTTCAGATTTGGGTTTGCATCACCGCCTTGTTATGATGGTCCATTGTCGACCTATAGTGATCCTGATGCAACTGGCCCTACCTTGGTTACCATACCAGGCATTGAATACTCGCAGAATACCGTCACATCCAGGCCAACCACGTCTAACAAAGAGCCCTCAAGGTGGGTAGTTACTGCAGAGCTACTTTGACGATTATCAGTTTTTACTTATTTTCATTGGAATGGGAACGTTACGGACAGGAAATGGGCATACGGTGGATATATTAAGAGTAACAAAGTGCAATTCATGTTGGTTTTGATGTATAGAAATAAAATGCTCAGTAATCTTGTGTGCATATTAACAAATAAATAAGCATTACCACCAAAATTTTTTTCGAATACACCACGCAGTCGAAAAGCTTGTATGCTTTCTAATAGCTTATAACTTTAATAGCAATGAAAAACTACAAGATTGGTGCAGGTTAATTGTAACACTTTCTCTACCATAGCTAAGACC